TGGGCGGAGAGCTGTAGGCTCTGTAGGCTGTAGGTGGTGTGACGTGGTTGACACTGTTTCTGTTTGTTTTCCAGATGACATACCCAGGTTCACAGTGCAGCCCTCCTCAGTGGTGCAAAAGATGGGGGGCAGGGTCACCCTGTTGTGCAGCGTGGAGCCCCTAACAGCCAATGTCAGCTGGCACCTGAATGGGCAGGAGCTGGGCGAGGGCAATGCCAGTCTGGGGGTACTGGTGCAACCCGACTCCCTCGTCATCCCGTCCCTCAGCAACCTCACCGTCGGGCGCTACCAGTGCATCGCTACGACCGTCGCGGGAGCCCGCGCCAGCGTCCCCGCCAACGTCACTGCAGCAAGTACGTCCACGCCTGGCTCCTGATACGGAATAAATTAGGAATAAATCCCTAATACGAGAAATTGCATATGGCTAATAAAGTGATCTTACCTTTAGATTAATGCATGTCCTGAGTTCCCATGTGTGAGCCCTGCAATGGACTGGCAACTCATTCAGGAAGTAGTCTCGCCCTGAACCCAGGGCTCCTGGGATAGGCTTTGCACTGCTATGACTCTATGACAGAAATCCGATTCTTTCAGATATTCGAGGGTAGCTCTGTTGGTTCAATTTAAATGTCTCTGCATTTATAGGGTAGCTATTTAAGAAATGCAGAGATGCGTCTTCCAGCTATCTGGAAATAGTGTTTAGCAGGAAATGAATTGGGGGGAAAAATGACATCATTTCATGGGCTGTTCATGGCCCCGTTGCTCAGGGTTTTGTTTCCTAATTAAAGAAGATCAATAACTCAGTGCAAGCATGTTTGCATTGCCCTGGCTGCTCAAGTGTCTCTGGTGCCCCTCCCGGTGAGCCGAGAGGCGAGGTCAGCAGTCTGAGCTTGATAACATGAAGACTGGAGCAAAACCCTTACAGATCGTTCCCGTTTTACTTAGACTAACAAGGCTCCACACTTCCTCTGCACGCCGGCTTTCCCCCCACCCAGGCTTGGCAAAGGAGAGCCGTGTGCACGGAAAAGCAAGATGAAATATGCTGGCCCGTGTCTGTAAGGACATATAAATAATCAGAGCCTGCACAACAAAAACTGGGAATCGAGGTTATTGCACCACCCACCTGGAAGAGGGACATTTATCTGTGAGGCAGGGGCTCGTCACTGGATTAGTGATGCGAAAAGAAGAGCTGAGCGCTGTGGGGGGAGTCTGGGCCCCCCTCCCCAGGGCGCGAGGTCTGGAAAGCGAGGCAGGGGGCGGCTCTGGGATCCGTCATTTTGATTCCCGCCTCTGAGGACCAGAGCCGGGGGCCTCCTGCCTGGATTGAGTTACTCCCAGGGCCTGCCAGCCTCTCGGAAGGGCCGAACGAGCTGAAGAAGAAAGAGGGCCGTTCAGACCGCGCGGCAGGGAGGGCACAGGGAGCCGCGGGTGTTTATACAAATGGTTATCATTTCTTCTGCAGAAAGGAATTGTTTTTCTTCGAGCGCCGAGCGTGGCGGAGTGGGGAGTGCTAAGGCAACAGGGTGAAAAGAATCGCGTTGGGCGTTTGGAACGGGTTTCTCAGTTTGTTCTGCCCCCCCCAAGAAAAAATAAATCGCTCAGAAACGGTATATTGCAGTTTCGCCACAGGCACGCCGCCGCCTCCCCCCTTGCTGTTACTGTAAAGGTCAGAGGGGAAGATGACAAGCAGTAAACAGGACGTGAAAACTGTGGAATGCGAGTTTGGAGATTAAGAATGCCCGACCAAGCTATTCTGTTTTGGGTGGAAAGGCGAGCGTGGCATGACTCTGAGCCTCCTGTCAGCAGCCTGGCGTGGAAGCAGGAGACGGGCGAAGTGGCCGGGCCACTCTCCCTTGACACCAGACGGACGAGAGAGGCGAGCCGCGGGGCATGGTGGGAAATCAAGCTCATGAACTCTCTGAATTGTCTAGTCAGGCCTGAAACCTGCCAGCTGGGGGGGAATGCCTTTCTTCAAGGCTGGTTTAGACAGGCAGCTCATCTCCCTCTCTGCCCGGCAGACGTGAAGTCAGAAGCACTCACGGGCCTGGTGAGACGCCTTACTGCTGACTTCGCACTTTATCCAAACACACGTTCCGCGCTGCCAGCCATTTCTGAGCAGGGAGCATCTGTAGAGCAGCACCTGCGGGCTCCCCAGGCATTTCGGACTGGCCGACAGCGACACTGCCTGAATTTTGGATAGTCTGTCAAGATTAAGAACCGTCTTAAAAACTCTTGCCGGCTGTGGTTGCGGACAGTTATGTAAATTCTCGGACGGCTATTGTGCTTGGATTAATGATTACGGACATATTGTTAATGCGTGGGCACTGCATTGCTCTAGTATAGTGTGGCTGTTCCCTGTTCCTGACCAGTCGAAGACGCTGGCGTGTGCGTTATAGCTGAGCGTTTTAGCTGCATGCTTTTAATAATCGTATCCAAATGGTTTTTGAGAGACTAGTTAAAATTTATCGTGCAGCCATCGCCCAAGTCTGAAATATGATTTTCCCTCCCTCCTGGGGAGAGGCCCAGCGCCTGCATTAAATCCTGAAGTCATGGAAATGCAATTCCTGCTCTGGTTGTCATTGAGGATTAATGATATTTATGAAATAGTTCAGCTTCTTTTTTTAACGTCTGGCTGGCAAAGGTTTCTTAAAAAGTCTGAAGGTTTAGAGATCATTAATCACTTTTATGACTTGCAGAGGGACAGGCGAGTGAGAGATGCTGGTGTGTGTCGATGTGGGGGGAGCTGGTGGGAGTGGGGGGTCTTGGGGTTGCTGCCTTCAAAAGGATTTGAGCAGAGCGTTTTAAATAACCCACCAACATCAGCCTTCCTTTGGGAGTCGGTTCAGAGAAATTCTTTCAAAGTTAGATACCTCTCTTTGTTCACCGCTCAACTTGGACTGGGATTTAAAAGAATAAAATCAAATGTTTTCTGGGGGGGGAAGACGTTCAAATTGAAATACGACTTCAGAATACTCAAGGACGTCTTTGTATCTCCAGGCACTTTGAATAACGTCAAAACGCACTGAGGTTATGCGCTGCTATGATTTAATCTATGGCTCTTGATTTAATTTGTCTGTGTTTACGTGAGCAGCCTGTCTCAGGTCTGATTTTCTGCAGTTACTGGAGCTTTTTTCCAGGAGTTACCGAATTTTAATTTCACGGTGTTAAAGGGGGGAAAAAAGTTAGCTTTGCTCATCATGTTTTAACGCCAACAAACGTTATGTAAAACAAGTGGTTGGAAATACGAAATAATTTGCCAAGTAATTTTAAAACAAATGTATTTGAAGTATCCTTCTTGGTGTTTGTGTGTGATCTTAGATCTTAGGCAACAGCAAAGTATAATAATGTGTTGTCTGTTTACTAAACACTGAACTGCAAGAAGCGTAATCTGGCAGCAGACACCTCTAACATCCGTCTTGTTCGAGCTCCATAATTCACTTTTTCTGTTTTTCTACATAACGAGAACCGCTTTCTTACTGGAATTTTTCATAGGCACAAACTCGAGGTCACAAACGAGAGGAGGGGGGCATTAAGCCCGTGTAACACGTTTTGGTCGTTAGTAATTATTCTGAGGGTCTCATCTGAAGGTTTCTGGAAAGAAACCCAAGATTTCGGCTTCAACAGCACGAGCGGGTAGCCTGTTCCCTGAAGCACCTCGTGAAAAACCCCCCGGTGCTCGGTTTTTAAATGCACTTCCTCGTAGTTTCCACTTTCACTAGTGTCCTGGGCTTCGGGTTTCTCTCTTCGTTCCAAGCCTTTCCGCTGGGCTGACTTTGTCAACCCTTTTTGAGGATTTTGAGTCCTTGGATCAGGGGCCCTTATAATCTTCTCTGCTGAAGACTAAACTAAACAGGCCCGGTTCCTGGTTTCCTGTCCCTGTCGGACATTCCTTTAAACCCGGGACTGCGTCTTCAATCACACTTCAAGAGGCCATCGGTGTTGTAATATGGCGGTGACTGTCCCGGTGCCTGCAGAGGGCGGGGGGTGCGTTTTGGGAGCGGGGGAGGGTGAAAGGTGTAGCTGCAGGGATCTGGCAGGGGAGACTGTGAAAACAAGGGCGAAATGGTTTTTGCAAGAGCAAGCAGTATGCAGGCGCTGTCTCGTCTCCCCTGTGAAACCCGAGCCTGTCGAAAGAGGCAAGCCAGCATCCTGAGTTTCTCACTTCTCCTGGCTTGGGGCGGCCCGACCCGCAGAGCCCTCCAGCCCCCACGTCTTGCCTGGCAGTGGGAGGAGGCAGGAATGCAGGCAGGACAGAGTACCTGTCACTGCCGACCGGAGGAGTGCGCTGGCTGTTTGACAGAGAGCAGAAAAGGCAGCCGTTCGTCTGGAGAAAGAGTCAGCCTTTCAGGGCAGTGGTTTTACATGCGCTGACAGGAAAGTGAGCAGTAAAAAAAGTGCCAGTCAGTCACAGGGGGAGAGACCCTGCTGGATCGAAAGGAATCCCAACAACACTTGAGTTTCAGAAGACATGCGAACTTTTGAACTGGTCTGCAGATGTGTTTTCTCATTCCGGACCGTGTTGGTGTGTAGTTTTATTAACAGGCAGTCATGCAGTGTGCCTAATCTGTTTCTCTGACTAATCAAGTTCTGTTCAAAATTACCTTGATTCTTGTTGATGGATCCTCAAGCGTCCAGGAAACTGATTCATTACAGAAGAGTCCCCAGTGTGCTCTGGTATGTTCATCAGGGAACATTGAAGTGATACAAGACGGCGATTCGCATGTACTGAACATAAAAATATTTCCAGGATCTCTGGGAAGGCAGTAGTCTGCAAAAGGGAGCTGGCACAGACCGCCTTTTTTTTTTTTTTTTCCAAATCATGCAGGCCTTTCTTGTCTCCTGTAATTGCCCCCTTGAGTGTTCCTCTCCCCTCCTGCTTCTGCTCCTTGTCGTCCCTCCCCCTCCACAGTTCCACCCCTCTGGGGTTCAGAGGCTGGTTTAGCCTCTCCCCCCCCAGGCCCTGTTGGTTACCCTGGCGTGATGGCTGATGTCTGACGGTGCTGGTCCTGCGCTCTGTGCCCACATGTTGGAGCCTCCCTTCTGACTGGTGTTCCTTTCCCCCAAAACAGGGGAGAGCTACACTGTCTCCCCAACCCCCGCTCCCTTAAGGTCGAGAGGGCGACACTGCCTAGATGGTTTCTCTGGGGACAGAGATCTCGTTTGTTTGGTTAACTTCAGATGGTAAAAACCGTGGACGCCCTTTCGTTTAAGGGCCGGCGCAGAAGTTCTTTTAAAAGGTGTTAGGATGAGCCTTATGCGCCAGAGAGCCAGTCTTGTAACGCGTCAGAAAGTATTGGCTTAATTCATTCCCCGGACTGCTGTAGGTGTTCGCCTGTCCGGTGGGGGGCGATCGGGGCGCTCAGACCTGGCGAGGCGCCCAGACCAGGTCCGAGCGTCACGCCCCCCGTGTCTCTGCGCAGAGCTGCGGGACTTCGAGCCCGACGACCAGCAGGACATCGAGGTGGACGAGGGGAACACGGCAGTCATCGAGTGCCACCTCCCCGAGAGCCAGCCCAAGGCCCAGGTCCGCTACAGCGTCAAGCAGGAGTGGCTGGAAACCTCGAAAGGTGAGGCCCCCGATCTGCCCGATCTGCCGCCGCGCCTGGAGCCTGTTGTTGGCCTTCACGCAGCCGAAGCTTTAAAACGGCTGGGAGGCGGAGGAGACGGGACGGGTGTTGTGGCGTACTCCCCTGGGTGAGAGCTGCTGATGAAATTAATCTCCTTGCCGTGTGAGCCCTCGAGGCCCCTCCTAGGGACTGCCTGGTGGTCCCGGCAGCGAGTCCATACTGCAGCGCTCGCTGTGTGGTCAATCTGGAAGACTCTCGTGGCAGATGAGGGAGTTATTCAGAGAATTCCGAAACTCAGAAGCTTGTTTATCATCTGGAGATTCACTCCTTCGTTGCAGAAGGACCGCTTCAGTTTATTGCAGCCCGATGGCGCTGTGCTTTAAGGAGGGGGCAAAAAAAGCAGCCATCACCGTTATGCAATTATGAACTCATTGTCGTCTCATTGAGTTTGGATTTTTGCAGTTCTTAAGAAAAAAGAGCTCTCTTCCTCAGAGCCTTTTAAAACAAAATAAGCTTGTCAAGACCAAATTTAACTCCTACCAGTTTACCAGCTTAGCTATTGCTCCGATGTCGACACGCCCCGGTGCGCGAGGAAGTGACGAGAGTGCCCCCTGTCTTCTCCAGGAAATTACCTGATCATGCCGTCTGGGAACCTGCAGATCGTCAACGCCACCCAGGAGGACGAGGGCACGTACAAGTGCGCGGCCTACAACCCCGTGACGCAGGAAGTGAAGACCTCTTCCTCCACAGACCGGCTGCGGATCAGACGTAAGCAGAGGCTTGGGGAAGGCTCTCCCCGCCCGCGCCCAGGAGCTCCTGGCTGCACCAGGCCCGGTGCGGCAGCAGCAGCAAACCAGCTGCTGTCACGCGCTGCACGCTATTCTGTACTTCCAGGGCGCTTGGCGGAGATTTAGAGGCAGCTCTGTCATCAGGGTCACACGTTTGATGTGGTACAGTGAAGCCAACATGGAGGAAAAGAACAATGACAACAATATGGCCCATGCTTCTAATCCACATATGTTCTGGATACAGTACTGTCAATTACTGTATGATTTGTGTTAAGCTCCTTGAGAACACTGTGTGTAAGAATAAGTTGCTTGATATATGGACGTCACATCGCAGGCCTGCTCCACAGGGCCCTGCTGTCCGTCTCTGTGCTCGGCGGTAACTTCCCCCTTCTCTCTCTCTCCTCTGAAGGCGCGAGCGCGGAGGCGGCGCGGATCATCTACCCTCCCGGCTCGCGGTCCATCATCGTGACCAAGGGCCAGCGCCTGGTGCTGGAGTGCGTGGCCAGCGGCATCCCTCCCCCGCAGGTCACCTGGGCCAAGGACGGCGCCGACCTGCGGCCGCACAACAAGACGCGCTTCCTGCTGAGCAACCTGCTGATCGACGCCACCAGCGAGGCCGACTCGGGGACGTACGTCTGCCAGGCGGACAACGGCATGGGCCCGCTGGGCACCGCCTCCATCGTGTACAGCGTGCAGGTGCTGGGTACGTGCCGCGCTGCGCCGCGCCGCGCCGCCTCTGCTCCCGAGAGAAACGAGAACAGCGGGAAGGTCGTCCGGTGTTTAGCGGCTTATTGGTCAGGGATCTCCTGTCCAGCTGGCGCCTGTAGGCAGGCAGGGTATCGGCTTCAATGGCATGGCTGGGTAGCTTGTTCCACGCTCCCACCACCCGCTGTGTAAAGAAGTGCTTCCTAAAGATCTTGCAAAGGGGGGAATTTTCTCCCTCACAGCAAGCCTTGCTTGGCGATTTCCAGCGCCTGCTGACAGACTGTCCTGGGTGTGTTCTTCAGATCTTGTGTCAACGAGAAAGAATGTAGCCTCTGGGTTTCATTGAGTGAAACACTGGGGGGGGAAAAAACAAAAATTAAAAGCAAAATTAATATAAGGCTTTGTGTCTGGAAATAAAAACTGAATACCAATAGCTTTTGTTTTTAATAAAGATTTCGCTTGTCTCAGGTTCTGGGCAGCTGTTATTAATATCCTAACAGATTGCTCCTGGTCTAACCAGCATTTTTCTGCATTGAAACGGATTCAGATTCAGCCAACCATCAACTTCATTGGGCGCATCACGTTAGTTTGTTCTGTAAATAAGAGAAATGACTGGCATGTTATTGTAGAGTCAGCGTTGAGCTGTTTCTGTTTAGCGTGCACTGTGTAAGGAAACACCGTTGACGTTCGGGGTTATGAAAGCTACAGACTCTTAACGTGGAAACTCCAGAGTTCTTTACGTTCGACTTTCCCGTCGTTGCAACCTCGCACCATCACACCGGCACTTGGTTTCACTCCGAGCGCTTATCACGCCTCGTTGTCCTCGGCGGGCTCTTCCGGAGTCTTCCGGGATCCGGCACGGAGCCTCGCGCCCGGAAGTGGCGCCGGGCCTTGGTTGGTTGCACCTATCCCGCCCGGATAGCGGGACTTGAGAGGCCGTGAAAGCCGCATCCCGGCTGTGCCTTGGAAGGGCTGCGGCTGCTGCTGCCCTGCTGCCCGAGCTGGACAGCGGGGTGGTTTGTGTTTGGGAGGCCGTGCCACTGCGGACGACGGGTAGACGGAGACCAGTCAGTCGACTGAAATGCGTTCTGTTGCTTCGTTCTTTGGGATCGGTGGTTGGTGAGCTGTTTTCCCGAATCCCGAACAGAATGGAACTGCGAGGACGCGCAGGGCCGTGGTCTGGGGTTTGGGGTGTGTTTTCCGGTGTTTTCTGGGGGTGTTGGGGAGGGGCTCGTCTCCTTGCCGGCGCGGTCGAGCCGTGCCCGAGGGGCTCGTCTCTGTGCGGGGTGATGCGCTGCCCTCACGCTCCGCCCTGCGCTACCCTGCAGAGCCACCGGAGGTCAGCGTGGAGCTGCAGCCGCCGCCGCAGCAGCTGGTGCCCTGGGGGGAGACCGTGCGCTTCAGCTGCAGCGCCCGCGGGAACCCGCCGCCCTCCGTGGTGTGGCTGCACAACGCCCGGCCCCTCGCCCCGACGCCGCGCCACCGCCTGTCCGCCCGCCTGCTGCGCGTGCTCAGCGTGGGGCCGCAGGACGAAGGCATCTACCAGTGCATGGCGGAGAACGGGGTGGGCAGCTCGCAGGCCGCGGCCCGCCTCATCACCGTGCCGAACGGTCAGTACCCCCCCCACTAACATCCTGTTTTAGCAATTGTGTGATCGTTAGCCTCGTTATGCTATTAGGTCATAACTGGTCCAGATCGGCTTTCCGACCGCCCTTCGTTTAGCCAAATGCCCCGAGAAGCTGGTCTTCCACCACGGAAGAAGTAAACCTTCTTCGCCTGGTCAGAAAGTGCAGGTGGTGTGAAGGCAGTGTAGCTCCCGCCTCTCTGTAGAAGACCACGAGAGATGTTCCGGCCGCGTCTGGAAAGGTGGCTGGGGCATTATCATCGCCCTGGCTGGGTAGCTCGTTCTCGAGTCCCACCTGTCTTTTGTGATTCCCCTGCCTCTCTCGTGATCGGGTCAAGTGCGGAATCGCGTTGGAGGGAAAATAAATGTCTCCGTGAATCTGCCTGGACCACCGGGGTTGTATTTCTGTTAGTTCTTGTCTTTTGGAAGATGTCCAGTCAATTCGGAGCCGGTGGCTGGTAACGCCGATACGTTTTTAATTTTTCCGCGACCGTCTTTTTTAAGGTGAGGCGGTGGCTCTGAGGCTGTGCAACGTGGGGCGTGTTTAAAGCGCACGATCCCTGTGTGAGCTCCAGGCGGCCCGCGGTGCTCCGGCTCAGGCAGTACTGTGTGGGAGCTGGCAGCTCTGGAATTCCTGACGGGAAAATAGAAGCCAGATGAGAGGGCTTAGACAGCAGTGAACTCAGCTGCTGAAACGCTCAGCTGGATTCGTTTTCCAAGACTTAATTTCCCAAGATCCATCTTGGAGCTTGAGACGGCCAGTTTTTGTAAAATTGTTTATTTCCAGAATGGTGCAGTAATTACAGGAGTCGGTCTTCAAGTATCAACGTAGAGTATCATTGTCCCCACTTGCTTCCAAATCTAAATTTGCCTTTCGGCCGAGTTCATTTTTGTTCTTGAAGAGGGTTTTGTTTTTTTTTTGTTTTTTTCACGCGTGCCTGTTTTCAATTTCACAGGGACGGCGTCCAAAGCGGGGAAACAGCTCCCCGTGGACTTCCTCCCTCTTCCCGATGTGCTGCGGCCTTCGAGCCCAGACAAGATCCTCATAGACCGCACCTCGCAGAAGCCTGGGGCCGCGGGGCCGGCCGGTCCCCCAGACTGCTCAGGGCTCTCCGGGCAGGTGTCGCCAGCCGAGGCCCCGGTCATCCTCAGCCTGCCCCGCACCGGCAAGGCCGACTCGTATGAGTTGCTATGGAAACCGAGGCATGATGGAGGCGCTCCTGTCCTGGAGTACGTCGTCAAGTACAGAAAGGTAAACCAAAGAAATGGGTCTAGATGATAATTCCTCACACCTCTGTAGTGCTTTTCTGGACACTCCACTCAAAGCACTTTACAGGTAATGGGGATCCCCTCCACCCCCACCAATGTGCAGCCCCCCCCCCCACTGGATGATACGACGGCACCAGTCCACTCCCCACACACCAGCCCTCACTGGGGAGGAGAGCAGAGTGATGAAGCCAGTTCAGAGATGGGTGTTATTAGGAGACCATGATTGGTAAAGACCAATGGGAAATTTGGAGAAACACCCTTGGATTTTTAATGACCAAAGAGAGTCAGGCCCTCGGTTTTACGTCTCATCCCAAGGATGGTGCCTTTTTACAGTATAGTCTCCCTGTCACTGTACTGTGGAGCATTAGGACTGCAGGGTGAGCACCCCCTGCTGTCCCCACTAACACCTCTTCCAGCAGCAACCTTAGTTTTCCCCAGGAGGTCTCCCATCCAGGTACTGACCAGGCTCACACCTGCTGAGCTTCAGTGGGCTGCCAGTTGCGATATGGCTGCTGGCTTGATGCTGCTGTTGTAGGGCACTTGGTGGTTGTCAGCTGATGCCTGCATGAGAACAGGACAGCGATTGAGCGTGCAATTCATCTTCTGTTTGCATGATGCTGACCTGGGGTGAAATCATTTGTATACGTTAATCATGAAAGGGAATTTGGCTGACACAAACTTTGGCCGTCCCCCTCCGCTCCCCAGGCAGGAGACTCCTCCGACGACTGGACCATGCTCACCGTCCCCGGGACGCTGCACAAGCTCGCCCTGACCAGGCTGGACCCGGCCAGCCTGTACGAGGTGGAGATGGCCGCCCGGAACTGCGCCGGGCTGGGCCAGGCTGCCATGATGACCTTCCGAACCGGGAAAGGTAACTGAGCCCCCGTGGCCCCCTGACACCCGCACAGAGCCCTTTCTCAAGATCTCGCTTCGCACTGCGGCCTTCCTGATGCCGGTAACTAGTCCGTGTCCGTTTCTGGCTCCTCCCAGGTCGCAGCAACGCGCAGAAGGTGCAAGTCCCGGGCCTCAGCGGGCAGGAAGAGTTTCAGAAGGACTTCGCGAAGGGGAAAGTGCTGATGGAGGCCCGCCTGTCCCGTACGTCTGCCTGCGGAGTCTCCGGCCTCCCTCTGCCGTCTCTAATCCTCGGGACTTTCCTCCTCAGCCCTTCCAGCCTAGTCTTCATAACGCTGCCCTCCTGAAGTCTGTTGCTCATACCAAATGCTGTTGTAGTAGCATGCACAGGAACTAAACCTCTTCAAGATCGAGAAAACATCTTTCTCTCGTCATATTAACCCTAATGATTTGTCTCTCTCTCTCTCTCTTTCTCTTTTCTTATCTTTCTTGTGTCGGGCGTAGGATAACCAGGCCGTAAGTGTTGTGCATGCAGCTGTACCTTGTGTTTGACTGTATTCTGTTGGTCCTTCATGCTTGTAATAATGGGTTCATGCTGAAGTGAGTGGTAGATGTGTGGGTTTGGAGGCAAATATTTCCTAAGCTGCACTTTTACATTAGCTTGCCTGCTCTGGGAGTACAGTACAGTAAGGGTTCTCACTCATTTTTGTAAGCTCCTCATTTCCTTCAGCTGTATATCTGATGTTTTGCTGCCGTAGCACACAATGCTCGTGAGGGAGCACTAGTCCAGGTCGTTAACGCCAGTCTGTCTCGCCCCTCAGCTCCGGAAGCACCCGACCGGCCCACCATCTCCATGGCGTCGGAGACCTCGGCCTACGTCACCTGGATCCCGCGGGGGAACCGCGGCTTCCCCATCCAGTCCTTCCGCGTGGAGCACAAGAAGCTGAAGAAGGGAGGGGACTGGGTCGTCGCCGTCGCCAACATCCCCCCCTCCCGCCTCTCGGTGGAGATCACGGGGCTGGAGAAAGGTACGGGAAGGCGGGAAGGGAGCGGCCGCGAGTGGGGAAAGCCGGTGCGCGGGTTAACCTCCCCACCCCCCGGTTCAAAGTTCGGTTTCGGGTGCCGCTCCAGGGGAACGTGGCGCGGGAGTTAGCCATGCGTTTGAGCGTCTCTGTCGGGCCCCGCGGGAGGTGACCGGACTTGCCGGCCGTTCCCGTCTTTTCCTTTTCCCGACGGTGTTGTGTCGTAGCCCGTCTGCGGGGTACGGATTGGGTCCGAATTCGGAGCTGCGGGACCGTGGGGTTTTTGGCTCGCGCGTGCCGGCATGTCTGGCTGGGGATCCGGAAAGTGTCCGAGCGGAGGGGCGTCTTTCTGACAGCTGGGTCTCCTCCTTCGCACAGGCACCTCCTACAAGTTCCGGGTGCGCGCGGTCAACGTGCTTGGCGAAAGTCCACCCAGCGCTCCCTCCAAGGCCTACACCGTCTCGGGCAGCGGGCACCGCCCCTACGAGCGCCCCGTGGCCGGCCCTTACATCACCTACAACGAGGCCATCAACGAGACCACCATCATGCTCAAGTGGACGGTAAGGAGAGCCGGTCTTGGCCTCGCAGATGGGCGACGTCATCACGCCACATAAGGCCGGAGGTGAATGAAAAGCGGAATCGCAATAAAATGGGGATTTCTTTTTGTGCCTTGTCTCTCTCAGTACACGCCTACGAACAACAACACTCCCATCTATGGGTTTTACATCTTTTACCGACCCACGGACAGCGACAACGACAGCGACTACAAGAAGGACGTCGTGGAGGGTAAGGAAGTGGATCGGCATTGATCCTGATCCTTTGATTTCTGGCCTCGGCCTGGGGTGTGTGTCCCCTGACCGTGTTGCTGCCCCCCTCTCTCCCAGGCGATCGTTATTGGCACTCCATCACCGACCTGCAGCCCGAAACGGCGTACGACATCAAGATGCAGTGCTTCAACGAGGGCGGGGAAAGCGAGTTCGGCAACGTCGTCATCCTGGAGACCAAAGGTGAGTCTGCTCGGCTGCAGCCACCTCGACCCCCCCGGAACGAAGGTTCAGCTCGTTATCTTATTTAAATAAGCGTCCCTCATCAGGATTCTACCTTTCGCGGGTCGCTGGTTTGCCCTGTTGGACAGGTGCCGAGCTCGTGTGGGTTGCGCGACTATCTCGAGTGGATCTGTTTCCCGCAGCTTCACGCATCTCGTTTCCTCTGCCCCGCAGCGCGCAAGCACTCCCGCCCCCCGCCGGTGGAGGCCACCTCTCACTCCACGGAGACAGGGGGCGCTGTGGCGACCGTGCCGCGCTCCAGCGACCTGCCCTACCTCATCGTGGGCGTGGTGCTGGGGGCCCTCGTCTTCATCATCGTTGCCTTCATCCCCTTCTGCCTGTGGAGGGCCTGGGCCAAGCAGAGTGAGTGTCTTCACCCCTCCGGTTTTATTTCTGAAGATCCGTTCAGCACTAGAGAAGAAATGACAGCGAATCACACCTCCAGTCATCACAAATGCTTCTACACAAAGCTCTCAATTCATTAACCGAGATCACAACGAAAGCATAATGCTCTGCTTGATGACGACTGTAAAACTTTCACTGCAGACCAGACCCACAAATGACATTCTCCTCTTTTAATTGTTTCGTATTATTGCAATGATCTTCATTGGTCTGCCTGCAGAGCAAACGACAGACCTGTGTTTCCCAGCTGTGGCTGCCCCAGTGTCGTCGTGCCAGTATACCATGGTGCCCCTGCAGGGTGTGGTGTTGACTCCGGGGCACTGCACTGCAGATGCTGCCCTCCTGCCCCAGTTTTCCAGCTCCCACCTCCCTCTGCCCCTCGGTGATTACACTGCCAACGGCAAGGTGCCTGGGTACTGCCTCTCCGACCTGCACCAGGTGAGCATGCTCGTGCCTCTCGTCGGGTCACCCCCGTCGCGATGTGTTGATACTTGCGGAGAACTTCCTACAGCCTGTGTGTCTGCGTCCTGTGAGACAAATCTCTGGTACAGCCGGTACAGATCCTGTAAAACAGGATCATTTTTTATGGATAACACATGAGCACCCCTCAGGAGTGGTTAAAGGGGAGGTGAAATGGTTGCTTCTTCGGAGACAGAAGATGAAAAGATGTTTCCTTTATCCAGACCGTAGAGCTGTAGACTACAATCTCAGCCATCTCAAGATGTCGGTGTAAAAGGAGATTTCGCAGTCTTGTTTTTTTTGTTTTGTTTATAATGGGACTTATTACACCGAATTCCTTAAGACAAACATCTGCTGGTCTCATCTTCCTGTGGTTCTGTCCCAGACTGGTGAGGATGGGACGTGTGTAAAATATCCACAGAGGACGTTTTGTTTACTATGGGCTGGACGTCACTCTTATTAGGAGCAGTGGCGTAAGCGGTGAACGTTCTGGGATTATTGGGGGTTTTCAGTTTCGTTTCTGCAAGCCTGCGAAAGGAGAGCTGTGTTCTAGGCTTGGCGTGCGTGCAGCGAGCCGGTTGAGCAAACCTACCCAGAATTCTCTGTGTGGAGGAAGACAGACTCCAGAAGGTCTGTGAGAGGAGAGGGGGGAGGGGGGGAGGACGCAGATCTGTCCAGGGCCGTGGCCTTGACTCTTGTTAACCCTTCTGTTCCAGGGTGGTGTGGAGTGTGCGATGGAGTGCAGCGCCCTGCTCCCGCAGGCTCCCAATGGCAGACCGGCTGCCTGCCTCTACTCTGAAAGGTCAGCATCTCCCCTTTCACCGAAACGCCACCAGGCTGCCAGGGCTGTGCGTGCCGTAACGCCCCATTTTCTCATCAGGAAAATCATTGATGGTGTCAAAAGCCTGTTTGATCTGGTATTCCAGTTCAATTTTTTCACTTGGAAGTCTCTAACATGAAAACACAAGGTTGCATTCGCTTTATTTTACGTTTCTTTTTCTGTGGTTTTAAAACCAGCGACGCGGACAGGCTGCTGTAAATGTGTAGGGAGGCAGAATACCAGTGGCCCATTGAGAGCACAAGTCCGGAACTGCCTGAAAGCTTGTAGAGGCAAGATCATCCCTGGGGGGGGGATTTTAATGTTTGACCCTCTGTATTCGAGAGGGGCCGTGCAGCTCTGCTGAAGAGGTATAGCAGTTGGGGGTTTTTATACAGCGCTTGTGACTTGCCGGGCGTGCTGGTGGGGTTACGGCTCTTCTGCTCTCACTCCTGGCTCGGGAATTTCTGCAGGGTCCCTGAAGCGGACCCAGATGACCAGTGCTGCCTTGCCGATGGCTCGGCCTGCCCGGGCCTCCGCACCCCTGCGGGGCCCCCCGGCTTGTGTCAGGTGACTGGAGGCGACTCCCACTGTGGGGCAAAGGGTACAGGCGGAGAGTGTCCCATTAGCGCGGGTGAGTGTTGCGTGGCCTCTCTCGGCGAGCGGGGTTTCTCAGATTTCTTCCGTGTTGTGCGCCTGTGCCCTGTAACGCCCCCCCCCCCCTCTGTGCAGGCTTGCCGTGCAGCGCGGTCCTAACTCCGGTGGAAGAGGCCGAGACTCCAGAGCCCCTGCAGTGTCAGAGCTGCTGCGGTGCGTCGAGACCGTGGTCCCAGCATGCCCTGGAACAGGAAGTGGCTGACACGGGCCACGGTGAAACAGACTTGGGTGAAAGGGGGGCGCAGAACTCATTGGATGAGTAAGAACTGTCAAAAAGAAAAAAAAAAGTATTTATTTTTGTATAACAAACATATTTATATATTTATGCTTTGTAAATAGTGATATGTGTTTTGTTATACTGTACATATGGGGGGGGGACATTTATTTTTTTAATTATAGAACCAATAAAAAGAGATGGATCTATCCTGGTACAATTCCCAGAACAACAGTTTTCTCTAGAGGATAAAGGGAGTGTTTTTCTGTTGTGGCTCCAATTTCTTCTTGTAGCAAGGAAATTTCAACTCATGCTCCACACCCGTTATTGGTTTTAATACAAGCGTTCCCCACGCAATTTATATTTTTGACTTTTCCTTGACAACAAGTAGAGAAGCTGGAGTTAAATTCCCAAGTTGCAATATGTTTCTTAAACGTTTGTGCATTAAACATGGAGAGGGGAAAAACCCATCACAGCGCATCATCGGCTCAGCCACCGAGTCCCTCCAAGGGCCATGACGGAGATGGGACAGGACCGGCACCCCCAGGCAGCAGCCGTGTGTGAGATCGTGGGGCACTAGATGGCGAAGCTGCGCGGTGAAGACACCTGCTTTGTCTCCTCTTCCCGTCTCGCGTTCTGCGCTTCCTTCAGGATCACTGTAACTGCGCCACAGGCTCGGGCCCCACTGTGCTCTGTAGATACTGTATATGTGAGATGGCAGAAACTGTCTGCATTTATTGTATAGTATTAGTTTTTGCATGGTCAAAGTATTTTGTACAGCCTTACATATAACTGAATGTGATGTGTTGGAGCATTAACAATATTAACGGAAACCATGAATGTGAGTTAAAAGTGTGCTGCCTATTGTATCATGGAAGGGAAAGGAAGCTTTTGTTTAGTTCTGGTGGCTTCAGATGCTCTTAGAAATCTGAATGTATCTTTGAAAGTGGAATACTCTGATAAAACTGGCTTTTAATGACATTCCTCATGTTTATTACTGAATGGATGGGACTTACTTAACTTCACTAAATCATTAGGAACCTTTTCCTAAGGGCGTATCATTTATTCTTTCAAAACAATAACACTACTGCTGAGTGAGCCAGTACTGCCTGAAGTGTTTCCTGTGTGTCTGACGATCTGTAAGTCCCCACGGATGTATTAGTTAGCAGAATTATTGTATAAGAAAGCTTAAAGCTCTATATTAAATGTGTATTGTGAGACGGGACACGTAGGGGTGGGTTTGTCAACACAGAAGTGAAAAGACAGGCACTGTTTTAGCTGGAATCTTTAGTTGCAGAACATGCGCCTCAGAGATGAAGGATTCTGTATTATTTTTCCAAGATCAAGTGTCCCAGGGTTATCTTTTACTGTTTTATTACATTATATGTATTTCAGAACAATAGCAAATGCTTTCCGAGCAGGAACGCCTGTAAATAAAGCTGAAGAAACTGATGCCGTGTTGGTCTTCACAGTCTTGTTGTCCTTCACATCCCGTCACACTTCACTAGTGCTCTAGAGCTCAGCTGGAAGAGGCACAGCTATGTCCGTTCTCAAAGGCCGCAGGTTTTTTTTTTTTATTTTCACACTTTATGGCACACAGCTGTTCTTGCACAACAGGGCGAGTGGAGAAGCAGTGGTATTGACACGATCTCGGCTCCCAGCTGGATGGATCCGCACTGAGCAGTAACTGCATTCACTTACGCCAACTTCCCTCCTCAAGCTGGTACCCCGAATTGAAGCGAGCACCTGCAGGAGGTTGCATTTACTGGGGGGAAAAAGAAAATCGGTGGCAGGAGATTCACATATACAATTTAAAAGGCTAATTACTGCAAAGGGGACATTTAAGCACAGCAATGAACGTCTTAAACATCCTACAACCTCCAAAAAAAGCTTTCTGCTGCACGTTGAATTCTCTAGCCAACACCAGAAGGCAAAAATCAGATCACGGCAGGGCCCAACAGCTGCACCTTGCTGGTAAATCCCCCAGCAGTCTTCTGAGACAAGAAGCTGAACAGGAGAGGACTCAGACACGTTCCAGGCCCATGTGAACTATACAAACTAGCTCTACAGCGAGAATTCAGAAGGGTCTGATTCTAGTGCGGGGTGGATAACGGCTCTCACTCTTTAGCCTAGATTCAGATGGAGGGCTCTTGTTAAATTCAGAGTGTCACAGAACATTTTCCTTCACAGGATGCTTCCCATGAACCCAAGGGCTGGAGACTCTTCTCCAGGGAGAGAAATCTCCAAAGAGGCTACCAACATTGGACAAGTACAACAGGATCTGTAAAAACACCTGCAATCATGTCAAAGGGTTTCTGGCATCAAGATAAATTGCAGGAAATATGGGATATCCCTGCTAAAAAAACCCCCAAGTCTAATCCTGAAATAAGGTGAACCACTTTTCACTTATGTCACCCGCCAGGAGTTTTGCTGAAGTGTTTATAGGTGATGTGGATACTAACCCCAGCCCCTGTTTAACTTGCATTCAGTTCTGCTACTGGTGTCAGTTTGGTATACATCTATATGTATAATTTACAGTAGTTCAGGCGGGGAGTTGCGTCAGCACGCGTAGTCTGCAAAGGAACAAGTTAGAGGTTTATGCTGAAAAGAGAAGGGAGAAAACACAACGTTTCGGCTATGAAGCCTTCTTCAGGTATGAGGAAGACAGGGCAGACAGCAAAGATTAAATAGCACAGAAGTTATTTTTGCCAACTGTTGAACAGGACACCCCAGCACTATTCTTTTTCAACAACATGGAGATTTTGTATAATAATAAATTATAAATAATCATGGTTAATAATGACAAAAAATAATTCTATGCCCAGAGGGAAGTGAATATGTTTTCGCTAGTCAAGATATAATAGCTGCTAATTGCCTTTTTAAAAGTAGTTATATTTCTGTAAAATAAACAAAAATGCAGAATTGTGCGTATGTGCAGTTCATGAGTCTTTGGAAGTCATTTCTATAATTAGACACCAATTGTTTTTGGCTTCAATCAAAATCAAACCTTCAACCCAGCTCTCACAAACTCCAAACACAGCACCGAAAGTTTTGAGTTTAGCTACGCTTCACTATGAAATCGGAGGCGGTCTCCACTTACACAAAGTTTAGCCTCCTTCCTTGCAGTACAGATATTCACCGGACTTGTGAAGGCTGGGCTGTGCAACTTCTGCCACTGGGAACGGTGAGACTGAGTAATCCTGGGGCTGCAGTGGGATCACTGGGAACTGGCTTCTGTGGATTAGTATTGATTAATAAATGATGATGATGAACAAACCCCACAACATTTAAAGGGGATTAACATTTTGTACTGTTAAAAAAAAACCCAAACCTAATGACTTCATTGTTGCAGTGCTACATGGTGGAAGGATATTCACAGACTTAGTGTAACAGAATTGTTTTTGAAACTAGACGTCTGTCACACCTCTTCTGAAGTCACACGTCTCTCTCGCGTCCTAGCAAGTGGACGCCCCAGCACCCCAGTGAGGTAAGATACAGGGTACTGGTTTATAAATCAGGAACAGAGCTGGAACTCAGCTCAGCTATTAAACTTCTTATACAGCACAAGCAGTACCTGTGAGCCCTCGGGTAGAAGATTCTTAACAGGGGGACTGAAGTAGCTCTTCGGATCGAGCTTGTGCTCCTCTTCCGGAGTAGGACTGGTGGATTTCAGCCATGTCTGGTCCTGTGGATCCTGTTGTACTGAGCAGGGCTGCTAACTGCATCAGCATCAGCAGGGTCAGACAGTCCTGCCACACGCTGGTCTAATCCCAGCTCCTGCATATCTGACAAACTAAACTGAATCATTTCATGTTTCTGGTTTTTCTTCACACTGTGCAGTGGCTTTAACAGAGTTAGAAAGCATGGGGTGGATTTTACACAACTGAAAACAGCTTTAAAGTTTGTAAATAAGAAACATTTTTTAAAAACATAAAAAAGATGAGCTCATTTAATTTTAAAAGTTGCTGGGGACAAGTTAGAGGACAAGTTAGAACTGCTCTTCTTTAACATCATATTTTTTCAACAAGAACTGCCCCCATCTTTTGAATAAAAAAGATCTTTAATAATCAACTTTATATATTTACAGATATTTACATCAAATACAAACATAGTGCAAAATAAAAATAAATAAAAATAAATATTTACAGTTTCAAAGTTTTTTCCTGTAAAACGTACACCCTGATACCCTCAGCACAGTTTTCTGTGCGCCTATCATTCCTTTTTTAATGTTTGTATTCAGCTACGAAAAACAAAAGCAAGCATTTTACATGTTTAGTACATTTTAGCTTCCCTCCTTCACTAGATCAACAACCATTTTTCAACAGCTACAAAGCATTAGTGTTCGATATAGTGAAAACAATGGGACTGACTCAAAAACTGTGCTTTACTCTTATTGTTATTGCCAAATGCAAGATTTTAAACACCGTAACATACGTTCAAACAACAGCAGTCATTTGGAAAGGACTTGAAACTCTCCATTTGTTGAATGTAACTGTCTCCTGTTCCTCAGGTGCTAGTCTACTGAATACTCCAAAAGTTAAGCACAGGATGACTGGAGAGGCAGCCTTTTTCTATTACGCACCTAAACTGTGGAATAGTATTCCTCAAAATATTAGGGAGATTGGCTCTGTGGATATTTCTAAATGGCAGCTTAAAACATATTTTTTTACTCTAACTTTTAATTGGGTTTTTCTTCTATGATTTGAATTCTATTTGTTTTGTGTGTGTATGGTTCTTTTTTTTGTCATAAGCACTTTGAGTCGCAAAAATGTGTATGAAAAGTGCTATAGAAATAAATTTATCATTATTACAAGAGTTGTTGAAATTAATGCAGACTCTTACACCTCCCAGTAGAATCTGAAAGTCCCCAGCTGTAGTCTGTACAGCGTGAACAATAAGTGCCTCTTTTTAACACCTTCATGTTCCAGTTACAAAAGAAAAGCTTGAAGTTCTTTACCTCCTGTGATCATTTTTAAGGTGTCAATTTATTCAAACCTACTCCTCCCACATAAAGAAACTGGCATTGCCTAGATTTTTAGATTTAGCTTTCTGTCATCCAGAGAAGGTCGAGTTAACAGTCTCGACTTTTTACTTTAGTGTGCAGCGCCCTCCTCTGCCTAAAACTGGAACTGGCAGCTCAACTGGGTTTAACTACATAACACAACCAGGCTGCTCACCAGTGTAGCAGGTTTCGGTGTCCTGTTGGTTGGTGTCCTGAATACTTTTTATAGTTAACATTTAACTTTTAACATTTAAGGTGATGTCCTACCATTTGGTAGATCACTAATTATTTCTTAACCATACTGCAGTAGAATTATTTTTTTGGCCCCCAAAGCCCACATCTTGTTCCAAAGACAATTCCAATAAATTAAACAAGTTCCATCGCTATCAAAAGTAAAAATCAGTACCTTTGAATTCATTTTTTTTTAGAATCTGTGTACTGGAACAAAACAGATTCTTTCATCATCCGAGAGCCTATATGAAGCTGATAAAACCCCTCGTCACTCAGCTGTTTAATGCTAAACATCTTGGGGGGTTTCCATTCCTTGCCATGAATTTTACCCAAACCAACTCGCTTCACTTGTGTGTTTTACAGTATGTCAGCGTGCCGAGTGCGTCTGCCACTCCCGTTTGCCACAACTGAACTCTTGTCAAACAAGGGTGCAGTTTTTTTGGCAAACAAAAACAAGATTCAATCTCAAACTGTGAATAACCTTAGTCTTGGACAAAAACAACAATAAATAGAAAAATAACACTGGAAAAAGAAAATACCATTTCTCCTAGAGTGCAATCTTCAATAAAACTGCTATCGACAAACTGTGCACCGTGTTCATTAAGCAAGTCACTGCTGACTGGTGTCTCTGCACTGCCCATGTGCGTGGGCAGGTGTCCCATCGTGGAGTCCTACCTTGTGCCTGTGCTTCCGAGACGGGCTGATGGAGCCTCGAATCCTCACCTGGAATAAGTGACTTTCTGATTTTCACACAAATTTTTTTTTTGGGGGAAAAAAGAGGCAACGACCTCTCAACTGCTGCCGTCCCAAGGTGAAGTCTGAGGCCAATCGACTTGTGCCGAAGTCGGCGAAGGAAACGGATCGGGATAACTTCCAGGTCGCCATGAGCGCTACCACTCCAGGGGCTGTTCAGCACAAAGGGAGAGCAGAAGAACACTACTAATACAGCTAAGCCAGGAGGCCAGTTCAGGGAGGATACCGGAGCTCAGCACGGACGTGGTCAGCCACCAGGAGGCGCGGGGCCTGGTGACCCCTTGCCCAGACGATGCCCTGTGAGGGCTCCTTCACACAGCTGAGCTGCCGTCGTGGCCCAGGATGTGGCTGATGTTGTGCGCCGGCCTGTTGGAGGGCTGCTTGCTGGTGTCGGCGGCGGCGGCGTTGGAGAGCGACAGCAGCGGGGACATGGGCATGGCGGAGCCGTCGGGCGGCAGCGCCGTGGCGATCTCGGGGAACAGCGAGGTCAGGTTGAAGTTGGAGAGGTGCGGGGTGATGCCGGAGGAGTTGGCGATGGGCATGGGGGGCATGTCCGGGAGGAGGGGGAAGCTGGGCTGCGCGAACCCCACGGGGCGGGGCGGCGACAGGATGGAGCCGAAGCGGTTGTTGAGCCCGCCGCTGTTGCTCTTCTCCGTGCTGGGGCTGGTGAACATCTGGTTGGAAAAGTACTGTATGGAGATGTCGTTAGGCAGGCTGGGGTGCGCAGCTGGGGAGTAGGAAGGGTAGAAGGATGGGAGAGTGTTCTGGGCCTCCACCGGAATGATGGCGGGCGTCCTGGTGGCGCTGGGCTGGGTCACAGGAGGGATGAAAGAAGGGTTGGCGTTGATAGGAGGGTTCATGCCGCTTTCGGGGATGAACGGGAAGCCGAAGTTCTGGGAGAGGCCGTGCTGGTCGGCGGTCAGGTTGTCTCCGCCCACCTGCGGGTTGTCGGCCATGAAGCGCACGATGCTGCCCCGCCTCTCCGCGGCGGCCTGCTGCCGGCTCAGAATCATGCCGCTGCTCGATGTCAGGGGCAGGTGGCCGTCCGGGTCGAAGGGGTTCCCCGGCCTCAGGTTTCCAGATCTCGTCCGTTCCGCGGGCCGGATTTTGTTGCTCTGGCCGTCCTGCACCGGATGCCTGGATCGCTGGCTGACGGTGCTCTGGGGGCGGACGGAGGACCGGACGGGCTCTGCGCTGCTGTGGGGCGCCGCGGGGTGAGGCAGCACTGGTCGGACCCCACTGCTATGCATGCTCACATTAACCTGGGGATTCAGGTGGCCCTTGTTGCCCTGGCTGTCGTTTATCCTCATGGAGTTGGGCTTCTGGCCCGAGACGTTCGGGCTGGCGTTTTTGCCCTGCATCTCGCCTGCTGTGGAGGAGCTAGTGAAGGTGATGTTGATGGAGTTGCTCCTGGAGCTGATTGGCCCCAGCGGCATCTCACAGCTGTCCCGGTTTTGGGCCTCACTTTCTCGCCTCAGGTGGACACCCCCCTCGCGTGAGGGAGGACAGTTGTACTCCATGCTGACCGGAGGACAGCACTGTGCAGCCCTCTGGTGGTCAGATATCCGCTGGTTCCCCGCAACCTGTTCCCCAAGGTGGGGTGCTAGCAAGCTCTGCATAAAGCTCTGATGGCAGGAGATATCATTTTCTCTGGGCTGAATGCCAGCTCCTGCTTGGATGCCCTGAGGTGGTGGATAAGCCCCTCTTTGCTGCCTGTCAATCGATGTTCCCTGTCCTATTCTGAAGCTCTGTGACTGGACACTCCTGTGTGAGGGCACAGGTTTCGATGCCATTTCATTGTTCCTTGAGGCTTGCACCTCAAAACTAGCCATCTGATGCTGGGTTGTGCTGATTGTTTTGAAGGGAGGGCACTCAGAGACCCTCTGGACATCCGTAGATACAGGGTGCTTTGTTGGGATTCTGCCTTGTATGTTGTGTACAATGCCTTTGCTCCTGGAAGCCTCTAGATATGTCCTCATGTCAGACTGCTCCTGACTCACGTGGGAGGCTTGGATGGCCATTCCCATCCTCTGTTCAGTATTTGAAGGAGATTTCCCAATGAGGGCCTCTGCAGAATAGTCGGAAATCCTATTTCTTTCCTGCCTCGACGGAGTGCAAATGATATCAGACGATCGGGAAACAACGCTCGGCTGGGAAGCCATCTGCTGCTCTAATGGCCGGGAGGTCATCAGCCTCTGCATAGGATTCTGTCCTGGGACATGATCAACTTGCGCTCCTTGCTGCCGACCCGTTCCACTGTCTTGCTGTTGCTGCTGCTGCTGCTGCTGCTGATGATGATGTTGCTGATGTTGCTGATGGAGGATTTCCTGGCTCAGATGACTCTGAGAATGCCCACCATGATGGCTCCTTGAAGCAGACTGGTTTTCGCAGCCCTTGTCAGAATGGGGTCCTCCAAAATGCTGCTGCTGCATTTGCTGCTGAAGATGCTGATGGCGTGAATGAGATGTCTGTGGTTGCTGCTGCTGCTGCTGTTGCTGTTGTTGCTGTTGCTGTTGCTGTTGCTGTTGCTGCTGCTGCTGCTGCTGTTGCTGTTGCTGTTGCTGTTGTGCCCCACTCTTTTGCTGCAGAGTCTGATCCCCTGCACCACTATGATGCTGCTTCTGCTGCAGAGCTACGGGGGGGCCCCCACGCACAAGGCCCCTTTTCTTCTGTATCTGTGCCTCCTGCTGCATGGACCTCTGCTGGTGAAGGCCATGGTGTTGCTGGGCGATGGGCTGGCCCTCCGGTTGGGTGAGGTGGTGCTGTAGCTGGTATAAGTGGTGTCTTTGACTCTGCAGCTGCTGCTGCTGCTGCTCTTGCTGTTGCTTGAGATAGGGATTTCCGCTGGTCAAGTGCAGCCCCCCAGGGGCTGAAGGGTGTTGGGCGTGCTGCTGTAAATGTGGACCACCTTGCTGACTTTGCTGCTGCTCCTGGATCACAGCTTGGGGAGCACAGTGCATGTCCGATTGCCTCAGGACAGTATTCATGAAACTGCTTGTAGGGAACAAGTTGCTAAGCCCCTCAGGGTGTCCTCGACTGCTGCTGACAGAGGAGACAGAGGTCACAGAGCTGGGGGGAAGTTGGCTAACCATCATTTGAGGATGATCAGGGACACTGTCTAAGGTCCTGCCCAAAGCGGACTTCATGTCCAGCCTTCCAATATTGGGGTTGTGGCACTGTTTCTGCCGCTTGCTTGTTGAAAGGAGGAGGTCCTCTTGCGGAGGGCGCTTGGAGGCGTCTTTTAGGTGCTCACTGCTCTGTTTCAGGTGCAATTCAGATGAAACATGGCCCCTCATGGGCACGTTTTTAAGAGGCGTGTACTCCAGCATTTGTCCTGCGGCTGAACACGGTGAAAGCAAAGAGGCAGAAGAGGACCTTGATGCATGGACAGCAGCAGACACAGACGTCGATTCGGTGGGCTGATTCAGGGTGGACGAGCAGGCATAAGACTGACTGACACTGTTTTGGCGTATCAAATTATTCACACTCAGACTGCCCACAGGAGCAGAAGACTGAGATGATGGAACTGATAAATGGTGATTGGCCCCAGCAGAACTATTACTTGCTGATACCAATGGCCTCTCACCACTCAGCTGAACCTGGGACTGTGCCTTTCCTGTGTGACCCTCCGAGTGCTTTGAAAGCTTAGGCTGCTGACTGCCTTGTCTTTCTTTGCTGAGGGTGGAAGTCTCTTGACTTTTGGAAACTTCCCAAACTATTGGAACTTCTACACTGCTTGTGGCAACTTTCTTGCTTTGGGTATCATGGTCAAAAATGGCCTTGGCAGCCAGAGCAAAGATATCAGCCTGCTCTGAGAAGCTGAAGCTGGAGAAAGTGTTTGTGGAGCTGCTGACACAAGGGGTTTCTTCTCTGTTGGTATTGGGTAACATGGAGGCAACCGAGAATCCCCGGCTGCTTCCAGAACTGGTCGACATCGGCGAGTCCGTCTGCCTGCTTGACACTAAGGAGCTGCCCAATGTATCGTGGTCCAAAGCACACACTTGTTGTTGAGGAGTGGTCTCCTTCCGATTCATTGAAAGAGGGTCTGCCTCTACATCTTCCTTTTCAATCGCCTCGTCAGTAGACGGCTGCTTTGAATGCGATTCACCTGCAACTGGGAACTGCGCTGCCGGGATCTTACCCTTGTTGATTTCAGAACAAGCTGCTTCTGTCTGCTTTGCGACTGCAGGTGCGGATTTGGCGTGGGTTGAGGACAGCTCAGCGGACCCTGCTTTCTTGGTCTGATGTTCAGGAACAGTTTCAGGGACCACAGAATTAGCACATGTCACCAGCTTACCTGCGTTATGGCGATCGGTCCTGGTGGTTTCACGTCCTGATGCGTGTGAAGAAGTGTTCTGGCGAGACACAGAGATTGGGGAAGACAGCTCAGAGATACTGGTCATTATTGTCGACAGGGAGTCTGAGGCCGTGGAGGCTGTGGAAGAGGGGGCCTGGCTGTCCGCTAAGCTGGGTTCCTGAGTGACAGGCATATTCTCCTTGGTACACAACACAGTGGGAAACATGCCCGGCTGTGGCCCTGTTGTTGGCGCACACACCGTGGAACAGGATGTCACAGCAGCAGCAGATGTGGTTGCTACAAGAAGCTGCGCAGTGGAAGCCTTACTCACAACAGAAGGGGCTGCTAGAGAAGACAACACCACTGAAGGCACGGTTGATTCTGGAGGATGTACGTCTCCCTTTTTGTGAGGTAATGCAGATGCTTCTACCGCAGCTGACAAGTCCTCTGTGACATCTGACCCATCCTTGTTCACGGGCTCCGGTCGAATCTCAGCAGCCGCTGGTTGCTTTCCTGCAGGTTTCGATGAATTCACCTGAGGACCGCCTCCTTGTTTGGTGGCAGGCGGCTTGGCCGAGCCAGATTTCTTTGAAGTCGCCCTTTTGGGTTTACCTCCTGAGGTTATGCTGGATTTCATTAACATCAGCTTCACCGTGCTGCCGGTGGCAGGGACTCTATGGCCCAGTGGCCCAGAGGAGGGAGCTGTGGAACTGACAGAAGATGCACTGCCGGATGTATTGACATGTGAAACTGCAGTGGTGCAAGGAAGAGGAATATTAACCTGCCCACTGCTGGCCTGTGCCGCCTTATTAGCAGCCTTAGCCACAGTAATCTGCATACAGCTCTGGCCAGCCATCTGCGAGATGCTCTGATTGAGACTGGCAAGGGCACCGAAAGTGTTCAGGGCAACATTGGTGTTAGGATCTTCGCTGGTGGTGGGCTGGATGATTTGCATAGGACTCTGACTGGAGACTCCAGTGGATGGCTTCATGGGCTGCAAAGCAAAAATCTGACCATTGACTGAAATGGTGTGGGGCTGATGCTGTTGTGGTGTCTGTGCAGAGCCAGTGGTTTTACAAGCGGTTGACACGAGGGGTCTGGGAAGTATATGCACCAGATGTTTTCCCCCCACAGTTTGGACACTGGTCATGGGAGCTGAGCAGCTTGAAGCAGCGATCTGATTGGCTGCCGGAGCCACAGCTGGAGCAGCAGCTGGCACAACCGTGGCTTGTGGATTCTGTAACACTGAACTCTGATTTGCTGCCTGGATGATGACGATCTGCTGGCATGGCGTCTGACTGGGCAAGCCCTCCCTCACCACTGTAGGTGCTGGGCATGGGTTTGCTGGCTGCAAGATAACAACATTTGGGTTGTGCGCAGCTTGAGGAACTGCAGAGCTGGCATTGTTTGTCATCTGAATCACCTGCATAGCCTGCAGCAGTGGCAGTACGTTTGGCTGAGTCTGAACTGGGATATGGGGCTGTGTTAATAATGGTTGAACAGGTACTGGCTGAATGGAGGGCAAAGTAACCGCTGCCAACTGGGAATGAACCTGCTTACTTCGTACTGAGCACAAAGAGACCCCCTTTAAACCTGGTGTGGCGGCCACACTGCCAGTGTTGAGCACCTGTCTGCTGCTATCTGTTGACGAGCTTGAGTTGTCATTGACCGATGGAGGCAGAACACTGGAAGCCATCTGGTTCAGGGGCTGCACCGTGTTCCCCGCCAGGTGTAGTGTTGTCCATGTGGTCTGGGTGTTGCCAGAGGAGGTCATCCTGGTGAGGGTGCTGACACCGTTTGAATCGTTTCCATTGGCAGGGGAGGCTAAAGAAGGCAAACACGCAGCCGTGTGCATCACTGTGTGGCACAGACCACTGCTGCTGCTCTCAAGGGTAACCGCAGCCCTTTTTTCAGTGAGTAATGCTTTCACAGGAGGAGCCTGTACAACAGGTTGTGGGGCCAGTTCCTGAGGCACTGAGGGACAATGCTGAAGGTTAGAGTGTTTAACCTGCTGCAGTTTCAGTGGCAAAACCTTCACGGGACTAACTGATGCTACCGTGACTTGTGTAGGGTTGGCCGATAGCAGTTTGCTGCAGCTACCAGAAACCACCGGCTGGCTCTGCTCAGACGTAGGAGCTGTGGATCTCTGGAGAGTGATGTAGGAGACCGAGGGAGGCAACTGTTTCCGGGTCTCCAGAGTAGACTTTCCTGCCACCTTGTGAGCAGCAACAGCAACAACAGGAGCAGCACTGGCTTGAGGCAGTGTCGGCTTTGCAGACTTGGCTGGTGCTTTCTTCTGCAGATCTGTCCTGTTCGAGCACTTCCTGGGGACGGGCGCCGCCGTCAAATCACAGGAGTGCTGCACAATCACAGCGTCGGCAGCCGGCTTCCTCAAATCCTGGCCGACGTTGAAGACCACATTCTGCGCAGGGCTGTCCTGACGGCCGGGGCAGATGATGTTGCCGTTGGAGTACACAATGATCCCCTCTTGAACCTGATGGGTAGGGATCTTTGCCACTTTCGTGCATTTCAGCTTGCCCTTCCAGTGAATCGTGGGATCGTCCATGAAGCTAATGCCGTTGGCCTTCAAAAGCTCAATGTAGTGAGAGTTCTCCCGCCGAAGTTCCTCCTGCTGCCTCCTCAGCCTTTTTATCTCTTCCGCTACAAAATATACAAAAAGAGACAAACAATGGCCAAATTCATTTACACAGGTACAGACTCATGCGTGGCGTCCACTGCACCCGATGGCATTCAAGCCTTTACACTACCTTAGCGTAAACACGATCTATACACATAAAATTCAGACGAGGAGCACGGATTACAAAAAGCCTGCGGCTCCAGGCCTTCACAACACGTGCAATCCAGACCTGCTAGCTGTACTGTGACAAATGCACAGACGCACACTCCCGAGAGAAATGGAAAGCTGTTTCTCCATCAAATACACAAAACCAACCATCAAACCCACCCAAACTCCTCCCCCTCAAAACAAAAAACAAACATATCCACACCCACCCACACAATGCCCCACACACAACTTAAGCTCCATAAGCCTGAAAGTCTATACCCTCATATCCTAGAGGATAAACCACACTTATCTGAGAAAATGTACTTTGAACATCAACACCCATATATCGATTAAATAACATTTAACATTTAATAGTATTTCAATTGGACCCATGACAAAAAATATCATCTCTCTCCCTTTCTCCTTTATTTACTATTTCACGTTCTTTTAAGGGGTTTAGCAATTCAAAACCGATTAGTAAATAAAAGCTGCCCGGCACAACTGATCTCTGCCTACCTTGTTCACGGTTTCCTCCATTCAGAAGCAGCTCGTCGTTTTGCTGCTTGAGCTGTGTGATGTACTTAAACGCCTGGTCCAGAATCATGTTCTTGCTCTGAAGCAAAAAAAAAAATTAATACATTATTTGTTGGGCAATAATCGGCAGCTGGAAATATATATATACATATAAGTTTCTAATCCAACAGTGTTAGGAGAAAAAACTGCACTTCAAAATGCAAAACACTAAGACAGCTGCTACACAGCTTACCTGCTTTAAGGCTTGTGAACATGGCAGGAGCTCCCCTATTCGATTAATTCCTGCATTGATCTTCTTTTTTCGGTGCCTCTCAACTGCATAAAGGAAAGGAGAATGAGCAAAACCGCGCACTTATAATGTAATGTTATAATAATGTTTCTTTATTAGCCCTATACAATTTCTTGCATTAGGAATTCGTCTTTTCGCATACCCCAGCTTTTCTCCATGGAGACACAGACACACAGACAGGGAGAGAAGCTTGGGGTCAGAGCGCAGGGTCTGCCATTGTACGGCGCCCCTGGAGCAGTTGGGGTTAAGGGCCTTGCTCAGGGGCCCAACGGAGTAGGAGTAGGATTCCTCTGCCGGCCGCGGGATTTGAACCGGCAACCTTCCAGTCACAGGCGCAGATCCTGAGCCACAGAGCCACCTCTCCACCCACTTCTCTGCACGCCTGTCCATTAACAATAAAGCTACTGCTCCGGCACCCACAGGGCAGCAACGTACTGTGCTCTGATCTCTATTCCGGGATGCAGCGTAGTTCGAACCCTGGTCTAGAGTGATGACGGGCTTTGATTGCCCAAGAACAAAGGCAGTCAGCCTCAGCAGTTACGCTGCATTGCAAGCCCTTGCTTCAGTTCATCCATAAGAATACCATTTTCTTTGGCGCCTGTACTCGTTAAGTAATAAGGGAAGAATTAAAGTCCCGGAGTAGAACTGAATTCAAGCATCGTGATTGACCAGCCCTACTCTGGAGTGAAGCTGGGGTCTCTGCGGCCACAACTCAAGCTCTAGAATAGCCCATCTGTGGTCCTGGAGAGCCTCCGTCCAGCATCATCAATTTCTTAACACACAGAACACTTTCGCTGTGACTATATCATCGGGCAATTTGGGCAATAAAACATTTTAGAGCGGGGCTGAGCAATCTTGATCATGAAGGGCTAATACGTCTGCGGGTTCTCTAGAGCTTTTCAATGCAGCAGCATCTGAAGAGCTGGGAGAAGTGGTCAAATTGATCCTGTTATGTCAATATTGAGCTGATTTGCGTTATGAGATCAGTTGAAATGAAAGCCTGCAGACACACTTGCCCTCCAGAGCTGGGACTGCCCATTCCTGTTTTAGAAATGAATTGCAAAGAAATGATCAAGCTCCCTTTGCTCTCCAGGACCACAGCTGGCCATTCCTAACTTACCTGAATCACTTTACTAACCTGATCAAACCTTAAATGTTCCAAGGCTTCAAAAAATGATACTTCAACAGTAACATTTAAAACTTACTAGACCTTCGGGACCAGTTAGCAAACTCTACTCTAAAGCTTCAACTCCCTTTCTTTCCAAAGCTTTCTCCCTTTCAAAGCAAAGACTTTGTAACCCTACTAAATGAAAAATATATATATAAGGTTAAGGTGAAATACAATCCAATATCAACACAAATGTTCAAGTCACAAAAATACAACCTAACCTGAACCTTAAAGACACCATTCTACGCATCAGCACCTATATCTACCATTGAAACACCAGAAATTATTGCCAGAGTTTTTCCACAAAATAGTATTAAATGTCTCTCAATCTAAAAAAATAAATCAAAAATGAAAGGCAGAGCATTATGCCAAGAAGCTTGATTCACGGTGAGGCTCTGAAATCAGCAAATCAGGCCCAGGTGGGTCCTTAAAACTGCACCTATGTCTCCTGCACATAATTCCTAAAGTTCATGGTCAAAAAGGCACTAATGGAAAAGATTTTCACAAATCCCTTTGAATGGAAAGACATTCAAAAGTTTAAAAAATCCCCTTTTACCTGCATTGTGAGTCTCTTTGTTTTTTTTCCTGCAAACAAAGTTAAAAAACAAAGAATTACAGAACTGTAGATCGCCGTGCACGTATAAACACAACTCCTACCAAGCTGGACAGACAACCTCATAACATGGACAGGTGGAAGACACTTATGACTTCTCATAAAGGTTACCGTAACAAACAAATGAACCTTTTTTTAAAAAAAAAAAACCTGTAAGGCATTGCTGAGTTATGATTTCTGCTGCTACTCCACTATGATCACCACACAGAATGGAGCATGACAACACTTCTCCAGAGCAGCTGCACACAATGCATGAAGTCATGGGAGCTGTCCGAAGCCATAACTCACCGATGTGGCTTGCTGGCAGGAGTCTGGTTTTCTGTCATCTCAGGCATGCTCACAGAAGCGGGATTCTGTAGCGCACACACGACAGGTCACACTGCTTCCCAGGGGGACTCACGCACATGCCTCCACTGCCAATCAATGCGGAGAAGAAAAAAACATTTTCCTAAGAACCGGAGGAAGATTTCAAATACAGCCCCCCTTGCTTTTACATATCTGATGTTACAGAGATAAGCCCCATCACTCCCAAAGCTCACACGGCTTCATCTTTCTTATCTACAGGTGACACAAAAATGATTTTCAAGACCAGAAAAACAATAACTGGATTGCAATAATTTTGAAACTCAAGTTATGTAACAGACTAACTTTATTTTCTTTAGGCCTGCTTACAGATTGGTTAGCTCATAGCGACACATTTCAGGCATTTTGTGCAAACCATCTCCAAACAAGGCAACTAAACTTTTGGATAAATCTACTTCAGAAAGGGCATTGCCAGTTCTCAGTCTTTCCTCAGTGAAAACCATGCTGGAATGATTTTGTCACCGATTCAGTTTTCGAGGCTGTGATTTTTCCAAAAGGTGAGCATCTGCTGCCAGTCCTCCCACAACGGAAGAGTGTGCGCTGTTATTTCTGACAGTGAAAAATACACATCCATGCAGCGCTTATCTTAAGAGACCAGGACGAATCTGCTTCAAGTACTGTACACTGAAAGAAGCAAGGCAAATAACAGAAAAGGCACACGAGCACCAGGAATTCAAAATACAAATTTTGAAGCTTGTGCCCCACATAAAACCATGCACGCATTTCTATAAAACCACAGAAAGGGCGTGTTCAGCAGACACCTTCGTAGTTAGGAATGAAAGAGGAGAACCTGCGGTGTTTGCACGTAGCTGTTGCAGTTTGATCTTTTGGGCTGGGTTTTGTGGTTTCTAGTTTTAACTGGACAATGGTGCAAACTGGACCCACGTGGAACGAAGTCCATCACCACGTGAAGGAGTGCCCACTGAACATGTGCCTCGGGCCAGGAAGAGCTGCTTACCCACCATAGGCCCTCAGCAACACTGCAGGCAGGCGGCCCACTGCAGCTCCCAGCTCCTGGTGCGGTGCAGCTCAGGTCAGCAGGCCCCCTGGCCATCACACCACGGGCGTCGCTGCCAGCCCTGCAACGACACGGAGCCCAGCCATAAGAAAATGAGCACCCCCCCCCACGCCCAGCCCGTTCCACTGAGTATACATCCAACTCCTATTGGCATTTTAACGCCAGAGCGACAAACTGTTATTCCAAATGGGTATGCGTTTGATAATATGATAATTCATGGAAGTAAGTCAATAATTAAACTCCTCTTCAAGCATTTAGGAACGTTGAGGTTTCTATTTTGAGACTGATTTTGCCAAATAAAACGAACATTCACCCGAGCAGACTAGTCAGCATTGACTACATACTCCTGTACTGGGTTAATGCTGCATTTGATTAGGTTAGAAAAACTTTTATTCTCTGAAATCGTGTATGGAATTGCTTGTTGTTTTAATTGATCACTTCATCACTGTGCCTTTGGCATCGAGTGTAAAAATATAAAATGAAAAAAATGATTTTTTTTTCATGAATGTACACAAAGAGCTGGACAAATGCATATTGTAAATTATGACTATCTCTGCCTGGCCAAACAGGGCACAGAGAGTTTATTATGTTTGACCTCTATAAGAAGCATTAGCAATCTGTAAATTCACCCTGCAGGTAGTTCACTGCTCACAAGTGTGTGTGTATTGAGGGGGTCAGGGTGCTCACCAGCCGACCCTAATGTCACAGCAAGTTGATGATTTAATCTACAGATTTCCACAGTATATGCTGAGGTTCTACAAAAATACACTTTGATTCCCATGCCTGACAAGCATACCTCCCCCACGTCCGTGCGCTCCGGGTTATACAGGCCACTTCCCCCTGTCTCCTAATGCACGGGTTGTCCTGTGCTGTCAATGTTTCTCATGGAGACCTACGCATCAGGCCAGCCCCCTGTCCTCAGCCGGTTTTTATCAGGGACTCTGACCCTTAGGACTGCAGTACTAGCAAGGCACCGTTCTGGTTCGGTTTAATTTCCACCCAATGGGAGGAGTAAAGACGATACAGTACTTCTGTTCAGAATACCCCAGGAGCTATCGGAGGTTGTTTGGCGATAGATGCAGAAACATGCGCCATTGTACACAGGATTAAAAAGCAGGGGGTTTTAATTGTTTTGGAATGACTGTTGAAAACACAGTCGCATTTTCAATACATAACCAGAGCAAAAACTGCTCCTTCCAGGGGTATGTTGTTTGAGCCGGCTAATTTCTTAACAACAATAATGGTGTTATTATTACTCTTGAGTACACCAGTACAGTGCTCTCCGATGACACATGGTGTTGTAGTTTTAAAACTCAGAACTCTCAAAAAACCAAGACAAAGACACACAGCTTTCAAACACACACGGATATACTACAATATTATAACTCGACGGCCGGCATGGATGCAAACAGACTGACTGGCACGGCGGTCCTAAAAGACAGGTGTACAGTACTCAGTCACAGTATCTTTTATACGAGAGTTCTGCAGTCAGCTATTAAATCATTTTAGGAAATGCAAATACATGTATTTTAAGGCTCTTTCTCCGTGCTCTACCAACAGCAGACACCCTGTGACGCCCCCCGCTGGTGCCCCAACACCCCAGGTACACCAATTTTCAGAAACATAACAGGTCACACCTCGCATTGCGCTAAACCACACATACACTAGTCAATAACATATTATAATAAATATTTCCACCACCAGACTCCTGCATACCGATTTCCACTATTGGTGACTGCACCGTATGGGTGTTAATAACAATGCGATTCGAAAACAGTGCCTGGTAATTACGAAACCCCGACTGCCTTCCCATGGGCAGAAACGGTCAAACTAAAATCAAATTTATGCGCAACTAACCAATTGCTTCACCATCTTCGGTTCATCTCACTGCCAAAACTTTAGTTTTCCTTGGAAATCAACTCTTCGCTCAACCTAACCCACAGGTTGTACGAGTGGAGAGGCAGTAGGATGAGGGGGGCGGAGAATGCCGCAGAGCTGTCCAATCATGTGACGCAGGAATCCGTCGACATCCAATAGGAAGGCGGAGAAGGCGGAGTTAAGAACTGCGGCGCGAAGCGATAGGCCCGTTATCCTGACAGACAGCGAAGGCACCTTTCAGCGAAGGCGAGGTCTTGCCGTACATGGCCCCTGGTTGGTGGCCTGCAGATGGAGGAGTTGCTTTTCACACCAAGATAGGTTGAGGATTACAGGAACTGTTAGGTGGGAAATGTCCCTTGTTGTTTTCTTAAAGGGCACTCGCAATAAAAAAGTCGTGTTCTTTCTCGCTTCTCAAAGACGTTGGCAAATCCTCGCCTTCATAAGAGTAGTTTGATAAAGAAATTAATTTCCTTAACCCACACATTAAATAAAAAGGAAAATAAAGTCCCCCCCCAAGATAGTTACGAAGTAATTAAAATGCTAAACCTGCAAAACCTTAGACATGACTAAATTGGGGGAAATTGCTGAAAGCCAGAACAGGCAATCCTGGTCGTGAAGGGCCAGTGTTACCTGTAGGTTTTTATTTCAGCTGAGCTCTATAACGAGCTACACAAGCCGACTACTGGATCTGCTGGACACAAGCTGCCCTCCGCGACAAGGACTGAACAGCCCGGGTGTAGTGCACTGGACCTAGAATTTTACAGAAGTAAAAGGAACAAGGCATGCCAGACTCTCAGGTCAGTGACAATACCCATGTTCACTGCATAAGGTCATCGTGCTTAGTGACACGAGCAAGGAGAGCAAACCCACTCGGAGACCGATAGACCTTCCAGTCCTGTCCAGAGTCAGGTCAGGGGCTGGTCCTGGAGTCACAGTTTTACAGGTCACCCTTAAATCAAAAAAGACTTGAGGTCTCAATTCTGTTAGGTAAATGGCCCAGTCAGGCCAGGCATGGCCAGCCCTGGTCCTTAATGGGCTAAACAGGACGTTCCTGCAGACATTAACCTTGCTGTGGTTCTGCAGGGACCAGGACTGACCTATGTGTTTAAGCCCTGCGATCACTTCTAAACATGCACTGCAAGACATTCAGTGCATACGATGCCTACAGGCCCCTCGCTCAAACATATAGCAAGCCTGCAACTTTATTTACCTGATTACGGAGAGCAAAATTCTTTTTCCTCCAAATTTATTGATAAAGTGCAAACCCGCAAGAGAATTTGCACACTTCCCTTACCATCCATCTCAAAACGACAAAGGCCACAGAAGCAGGTGAAGACAACTCTTGAGAAACACCAGAAGTAATGCAAATAGTATTCTGTTTTATTTAGAGAGGTTAAAAAGTCTTATAATATAGAGCTCCAGGGGAAAACAAAAAAAGATAAAATTCTTCAAAGAAAGAAAGAGAGGGAACAAAACATGCTTTAACTGGAACGGGCGGGAGGGGCCATCACAGCACAGGTTCTGAAAAACGCGTTTCTGTGCTCTGCGGCTTATTTAAATGGTACAGGAAACAAGGCTCCGGCTCAGACAGTCATTCTCCCTGGGACCAAGTCGGCTGCACCCACTACAGAGCGGCAGTAGTAGTGCCGAGTTTGTACGGCGCAGACTTTCAGTACGACTTAAGGAAGGAAAAAAAAAAAAGCTATGCAGAACCGTCCACATTTTTTAGATTTGGGAACCTCTGTGATCTTTCTCGCTCGGTCTTCTTAAAAAAAACTCATGGGGAGGGAGGAGGCCGCTCGGCGGCGCCACAGGAATCCAGAAATCCAGGAAGTCACCGTGTGGGCAAGACGGCACCCTGGAAAACGCGCAGTGAAGCACCTGTCTAAGGGCAAGGGGCTCTGCAGGCCCGCGGAGGTCAGCCGCAGAAGGCCCAGTCTGCCTCAGAACTGCAAGTGCAGGGCTCACGTCACTTACACGAAGGTAAAAAGAAAGTTCGGAGTACCAAAGCCAAAAAAACGTTCCACAACCCTTAATAACCTTAAAATAACCATCTCGTAACCGAGTCAGGACATCAAAACGGCGCCCTTTTAACGCTAAATGATCAACAATCGTCAAACAAACCCGCTGATCCGAACAGAGGTCAATTCTTTCACCTCTGCCAGTGATCGAACCGCTGAACCTTCTTAACTTGAACTGCTGTGTCTGTGCACCGATGCCTGGGTGTCAGGGGTACGAGGAGCTCTGCAAGGGTAAAACCTACTGCTCGGTTTCTTCCTTTCCTATCGGATGTGGCTGCGCACGCTGCGCTGGAGGTCATTTCCACATCCGAGCCACTTCGGCTCATCAGGACAGAGCTTGTCCTGGTTACTGTGGCGCTAAGCCCCCCAGAGAGCACGGTACTCCCGGCCCATCGCGGAGCTTACCCAGAGCAACGCTGGCACCCATTAATACAGTCGGGGGACTGGACTCGAACCCACGATCCACCAGATTAGAGCGCAGAGATGTACCCACTACGCCAGCCCACTGTATAGGCATGTATACGTATACATAAACATCCCAGGTGTTTGTCAAATCTGGCATCATTTCCCACTTTTTGTTTTAATGTTAAGCTTTAAAACGAAATTCAATAATATGTAAAAAAAACAAAAACAAATCTAGATGTTAAGCTCTTCAATGCAGGGCCTTCATTAATTAAAATAAAACAGCTCTCTGGCCTTCTAGCTTTCTCTCCGTTGTGGTGAAAGGCTACCAATAGTACCACCATTTTTTTTTGGGGGGGGGGGACATTTCTGCACACAATTGCTTCACTTAAAAAAAAAAACTTCCCAATAATGATGCCGAAATTGTTGCACAGAAAGCTCATGAGTTCAGTAGCAGCTCAGGAACAGTACTGTTCTCAGCACCGCCTTTCGTTGAGCTAGGAAAAAAAGTCACGGCTGTCGGAAACGGGCTTAGGATCCCATCTGTGCAGCATCTTACGTGCAGAGTATCAGAGTGTTCGGAAAGGCCAGAGGGCCGAGAAACGAGGGCAATATTGTGGCACAGACCCCATGTCTAAAAACTGCTAGATTTATTGAAGGAAACTGAGCCCTGGGTCTGCAGGTCCGTCCGTCCCCGCTGCCCCCATCTGTCCCAGTTTGATGTCGCTAACTTGCCCCTGCAGGTCTGCTACAGCTCAGGCTGCACCTCCCAGGATCATTCACAGCCAGGGCTTTAACTACCTTCCCAGCCGCCGCCTGCTCCTGGATCACTGAAAGAAACCGGGGAGAACAGGGTTTTTTTTAAAAAAGAAACTCGGCCCGTTCCGAGGGATAAAAAGAAAAATCTATTGTCAAGAAACAAAAAACAATCAGAAACTAAGAGTGTGGAGTCTAGCAACGACGGGGTGGTGTCCCGCGGGGGCCCCCCCCTCTCTGCATCGCCCCAACAGCCTCACTCCAGACCTCCGCGCCGACCCCCCCGTCTCGGCCCCGCCCATCCTCTCCCCCACCAAACTGGGGCCAAAGCCGGCCAGCGAGGCTGGGCTACAAGGAGCAGGCCTGGGAAACGCCACGGCCACAGAATGCCAAGCCGGCGCGTTGCTAAAACGCAAAACGTTCAGTCTGAAAAACCTGTGCGATTCCCCTTCGCCCCCCCCTTCGAGAAAGACACAGAACTGGGCCTCGGGGTCCTGCCACACAGGGAGCGACAGCCTCTCGCCCC